AACATGTGGTCAATAACTGTCTATTTCCTTATATAACTGCAGGATTGATGGGGTGGACAGTGTCTGGGTTGCCTGTGCCGAGGGAGTTGAGGACAAGATGAAGAAGTGAGGAGCCCGGCTGCTGGTGCTGATTGATTTCCTCCTTCATCTCTCCCCTCTTCCCAGGCTACTCTGCTTGTCCCTTTCACACTGCTCCCACAGTTACCGCTGCTAACCCCCCTCTGCTGTCACACTGCTGTCCACAATTTCAGCAGCTCCCCATCACCTATAGATGGAGTCTAGCTCCTCCTCCTGGTGGCCTAAGAGGTCATGCATGTCTTGGCTCCTGTCCCTCCCTTCTCCTGCCAGTCTAGTCTGCCTAACTGAGAAACAGCAGGTCCATCCAGCTCCCCTGCCGGAAGGGAGCTGCACTACTTTCCTTGCCTTTGTAGCTATAAAACTTCAAGACCCATATCAAGCCTGAGTGGGGGTGGGGAGGTGGGTGCAGTGTCCCCTCCCCCACAGAATTAGTTAACCAACAGCCCTTCGCTCCCAGAACCCTCTCAGCACGCTCAAATGCCGTACATGCATTGGTGTCTTCTTGTCTGTCTCCCACACTGGGCTGCAAGGATGGTCTTTCAGGGTAGTCCCATTAATCTATACGTCCCTGAGTGTACACACTTGAATGCATGAATCGACCTTATATCAGAGTATTGTGAAGAGAATTAAATTAATAAAAGTTGAAAATTACTAAGTACAATTACTTAGAACAGTGCCAGACAACATTCTAAGCCTTCTGCCTGAGCCTGTTCTGCTGCTATAATACCTGAGACAGGGAGGTTTATAAATAACGCAAATGTGTTGCTCACTATTCTGAGGCTAAGTCCAAGGTCAAGGTACCATCACATTCTGTCTGGTGAAGGCTCGCTTCTCAGAAATGGCACTTTCTCAAGATGTTCCTGTGTGGAAGAAGCAGAAGCATGAAAGACTAACTGGGGTTTTAATTTTAGAAGAGTACAATCCCATTAATGAGCATGACGCCCTTGTGACCTAATCACTTCTTAATGACCTGTCTGTTGGTGCTTTTGCATTGGGAGTTAAGTTTCAACATGAATTTTGGGGAGATACAAACATTCAAATCTTGGCACACAGTAAATGGTATAACTTACTTGATCTTCACAACCCTGTGATGTATTAACATTACCGTATTTTATAGAGCAGTAAATTATAAAGCTAAGATCACCCACACAGCTGGTAAGAGATGTGGTTCTCAAACCTCATTCTCCCTGTAGTTGGTGCCTTGTTCTTTGTAACTAACTACAACATGTATGTTAAAGTCCTGACCCAGTGCCAGGAGTGCTTGAGAGTATGACCTACTTCTCTACATGAATTCAAGCCTTCTACAGCTCTTTCCCTAGGTTCTTTGCCTGAACCATCTTGGCCCTTGGCTCCTGTGAATTGTCACAGGGCTATGTTTGTCCTGCTGATTTAAATGGCAAACAGTACAATGCATTATGCATCCTGTATCCTCTCCATGGCCAGCAGATTCAGTCTGGTGAAGGCTCGCTTCTCAGAAATGGCACTTTCAAACACTGATGAAGCAAGGATGGCCAAGTCCACAGGCACAGGTGGCAGAAGGAAGCAAAACAAGAGAACCCAGACATAGCCCAGGAAGGACAAGCAGAGGTGAGGGAAGGTGCTGACCTAGTGCCTACAAGCCTCTCTGGGTCTGCTCCCACCCTCTGTGTGAGCAGAGGTAGAATCGGTAAGCTTGGTGACCAGCAGGCCATAGAGATGTGCTCTGAAAGGTTCCAGGAAAACCAGGACTTGCCAGTGTTGCATGCACTGGGTTGGAGATGCAGAAGGAACAGGCTTAGGTAGAGATGTGTGTTGATGATGGACATGCTGGGCTTGAGATAAGACCTCTGTATCATGTTCCCTTCAGCATCAGTAGAAAAGAAAAAAAAGGAATGTAGGTTTTTTTCCTAGAGCCCTGTCATCTGCTCCTCTAGGAATTCTAATCAGTGAGAGCCAGGGAGCCAGTGATCGCCTGTGGCTGAGGGAGAACACAGGTGAGGCCCAGCCAGAGTGGCCAAGAGGTGATGATACGTGTTCGCTCTCAGGTCTGGCCTCAGCTTTGGCCAAAATTGCAGCTGAACTTGAAAACTTGGAGTCTTCATTCTGAGCTCCAGTTTACCTTGAGGCATCTGCATCATGGCCAGCAGCCCAGAAGCCAGGAATTCAGAGATGTCCAAGAGACACCACATGCTGGAGGTGGTGTTTATCAGGGAAACAAATGCCAGAGTTGAGAGGACTCCTGTCTTCCCACTGTCCATCTTCTCCAGCTGCTCTAACCACCTACAACCTTAACGAGGTTTTCTGACTTGCTGAACAAACTACCTGAGAATTGAGATACTTCAGAACATTTGTTAGTGCACAAATAGTAGTCTAGATATCCTGCAGTTCCCACTAATTATCCAAATACTCTAAGAAGTTCCTATTTTCACATAACAATTGGTATGTCAATTTTAAGTAATTCTTTTCATTCTAGCAGATTCCCTACAGTCCATTTTAGGCAACATTTGATTAACCCAGTCTGATTTATTGTACATGCTTCTACTAAAGAAGGAATTTACTCTCATTTTTGTAAAGAACTCAGCCTCATTATTCATTAACTGGAGTCTTACCTGTAATTCTATTGTGAGGGTTAAGGATTTGTTAATTTAAGAAAGTCCCTGTGCTTTGATGAAAGTTGTTTATTCTGTGAAAATAATGAGTGAGTCTGGGCCCCTCCTTGGCCTAAGTTTGCCATTCACACCTACGTAATATCCAGCAAATTGTTTCTCCTCTGGGACTTAAAGCCTGCATGAGAGAGTAAGCACTCTTGTAACCTGACAAGGATACCTGACAGTGGCCAGGGACTTGTTGACTCCCGTGGCTCTTGCTAAGGACTGTCATTGTTTCTGGATATGAATATGAACCTCAGTTTCCAATTGTCATGATAACCAAAGGGGAGTGGACCTGAAAAATAGATCCAGCATCCTCAGAGCCTATCAGCTTCTTAGCATTGTTGATGCCCTTCTTCTTGGCCATCCCTAGCCCTCAGTAGGAAAGAGGACAAAGGACAGGTAAGTCATAACTAAAGCAATGGGGGGCTGGGGATACAGCTCAGCAGCACAAGCGCCTGCCTGGCAAGTGCAAGGTCCTGAGTTTGATTCCTGGTACCAAAACCAAAAACTAAAACAAATAACTAAAGCAATGGGGCTGTATCCATTCTCTGAACTTGGGAAGTGCCAGGGGCAAAGGAAATGAATCTGCAGGGAGAAAACCACTCCTTGAGTGGTGGTTCAGTATTTTCAGTGGGTATAAAGGGAGTGAATGTAGCCCGTAGAAGCAAGACATGGCAACCATCTCTGTTCCCTTCCTTACCCTAAGGGCAATGAGTTAAGGTTAAGGGTCATGGCAGTGACTTTGTTTTTTTATTTTATTTTATTTTATTTTTTGGTTTTTCTCTGGTACCGGGAACCGAACTCATGACCTTGCGCTTGCCAGGCAGGCACTTTTGCCGCTGAGCTAAATCCCCAGCCCCCTATGGCAGTGACTTTGATATTCCTCTCCAGCCTATCTAAGATGGGAAGATTGTAAACATAGTGACACAAACTTAAAAAGAAGAAAATCCAACAAACCAGGACAAAGTACACCAATATGTGACTCCTAGTAGGGCTAGCCCTGCTGTTACTTGGGGCAAGCAGGTCTTGGAGAAACCCCATGTTCTGTAACCTCACCCAAGGTCTGTGGTATATTGCTGAAGTTACCTTCCTATTCTCTTCTCAGGCAGAATTTCTGAAGGACCTGGGGGAAGGTGTTAATACCCTCCAGGAGCAAGGTCAAGAGGGCAGTGTATATAGATAGCCCAGAGCATGTACAATCTTGTCACTAGTTCCTGAAGGGTAAAACTGGGTTGAGTCAGTTGTCCAGGACCCCAAAGAACAGAATGGGGGGTGGAAGGTACCATTCTTCTGTAATGATTCTGAAACATATTTTGCAATAAGTCAGACAAACTTATCCCCAAGCAGTTAGAGTTAATAGTTTTTTTAGTAGGTGTTCTTGGTCCATTCCAGTTCTACTCCCTGTTCACGCCCTGGTTAATCCTTATGTAACCTCCATCCAAAATCTTTGTTCTTAATTTCTTGACAATCTTTTCCTCTTAGGAAGTCAGTCTTGGAAAAACAGTATCCTAAGTGATAAGAACCCCAGATTCTCTGTGATGGTTCTTTGTGAGCCCCGCCATCTCCCCCAGCAGAGTCTCCTTCATCTCTGGGCTGTAGGCAGGGACAAGAACTTCTCTCTGCCATGGAGAAAAGGAAGAGAGTGGTCAGAGGACATGCCATTTGGTCTGTGAGGAAATGACAGTGTCTATTGTCATTGTCCCTATTCTGATCTAATCACTTCCCAGTTCTCTGCAAGGCTCCTAGTAATATGGAACCAGGGGAAAACCAGGAATAGGGACAAGAGCCCTGTCAGTATCAGCTCTACCCTACTGCAGCCATGGGAGTGGTCTGAGCACAGGTACGTAGGCATGCTTAATGAATTGGAGGCCAATGAACCTTTGGGCGATAGTTGGAATGCAGCAGACTGTGAACAGTGTAAACTAATGTGCAATGGCGTACTTGGCAGGCCTTCCTCTGTGTCCTATAGGATTTCTGTGGAACCTGGTCTCATCCAGGTCATGTGTCAGACCCACTTTGACTCCACTGTAATGGTCAAAGGAGCAGGACTCCCCAGTGCCTGGACACTGTCACAGGATGATGCGTGTGGTGCTTTTGGAGTCCATCCCATACCAATCCTTAGAATTCTTGGAAGTCCTGCTCCTACAGTGTGTCTGGACCTCAAGTAGAAAGGGTCAGGGCTGTCATTCATTCTACATCGTCGTCATTACAGACACTCTTGTAGCAACCAGTCTTTATTCATTTTTTAAAAAAGGAAATCCAAATAAGTTAGCAAAAAATACAAAATAATGGCAAAACCACACGATGCTTAGTTAACAAAAGAAATCACCCCAAGACCCACCCCCTTTTCCCTGCCTGTCCCTGGCATCTTCAGCACAGGAGACCTTGGTCAGATGGCAGCTTTACAAACAACACACGAAACAAAACAAAACATAAAACCACTGGAAGGTTCCCAATATTAACTGCAAAAGCTTGGCCCCCCAGGAACTTGGGAACAAAGGATTGTTCCTCTCCCTTTCTTTCTCTCAGTTCAGGGCAGGCCCAGCCCAGCCACTGGCATCAGGGAGAGACCAGAACAGGAGATGTGCACTCTTATCCAGGTAAGGATACTGTCTTTGTCTCTCAAACCGTTTCATTTAGAGATTGGAGTTAAAGGATAAAAAGGAAACTCCTGAGTTTCCTGAGGAGGGAGCATCCACAAGGGAGTTCTGTGGCCCCATCTGTACCTCCTTGGAAAGGGGATGCCTCTGCTCTAAGGAGTCAGCTAAGTGAACGCATCCATTCCTGTGCTGAGCGGTGTGTTAACTTATATGGATGAGGAGGGGGATAGTCTGGCCTATGGCAGCCCAGGGTTATCTTCCCGGCATCAGGATAGGCTAGTGGAAGAGTCTCCTGCTGCAGAAGTGGTGGCATCTATGGCCAGCATGGGGGCTCACATGAACACCCAGCCTGGCAGACACTCAGTTAGGCATAGTTTCATTTGGGAAGGCCACAGAGACATCCTCCACTGTGATGCTGTCCACGATGGAGGTGAGGGAGTGCAGATTGTGGGCGTCAGTAGGGTCAGCAGCCAGCAGATGATCTGAAAGGAGAAGACGGGGAGGAAAGGATGGCTGAGACCTTGGGGTGATGCAGGAGTTCCAGGACAGATGGGTGGGAAAAATGCGAGAGTTCTACTCCCTACTCCCTGCTTTTCCCATGTTGTGTGTGTGTGCATGTGTGTACTTGCAGGTGCACACACGTGTGTATGTGCTCATGTGCATGCCTCTTCTGAACTTCCCTAGTGGAGTCTGGATTTGTCAGCAGTGATTCCAGGGTGTAGCCAGGATAGTGTATCTGTGGAGACCGGAACTGTCCTTTGCTGGACAGTTTTGCAACACTGCGTCAGCAATTCCCAGGGACAGTTTCCTCTCTGCTGAGAAGGTCAGTCACTAGGCACCAGCTGGTTGCTGCAAGAGCCATGACCACTCCTTAGCTAGCCGAGGCTACAGGAGGGCACAGGGCCTCCCAGCCTTCTTTCTGGGGCCGTGGGTCAGCAGGTCCCTGGAGAAGGCTCAGGAAGAAGCCTGGAGCAGGGGTTAAGGTAAAGGGAGGACCCCGGCTAGGGAGGAATTGAGGGATCAAGTCAGGGTCAGGCTTCACTCACCACCTGGGTTGGGGCTGAACTCCAGTGCGCTGCCCCACTCCGGACTGCAGGAGGCACTGTGGGAGCTGCATTCACTGGGCACCTGCAAACAGGACCAAGGCCCAAGGTCAGGGCCCAACCGTCCCTGGATGGATCTCTGCCTTGCCCAAGCCCACACAGCTGCAGTGGGCTCGGAGGGTGGGCCACAGGCTGGGGCCCTCCCGCCCAGGGTGCCCCCACCCTAGAAGGTTCACACCACCGGCCCTGCTTCCAGGCCTTCCTGGCGTCCATCCTAGATGGTGGCTCTGTCTTCCTACGGTATCAGCTTAAAGGGATTTCTGGCTTTCCTGACCCTGGGGATAGGGGTGACTAAGCAGAGCGGCCCAGCTATGGTGACTTCTGAGCAGACCTGTTGAGGTTCTAATGAGATGAGTTGGGCTTTGTCTGCTTAGTCACGCCCAGGATGGGGATGGTGATGTGGATGGGGAGGTGTTCGGGGAGTACGTGGCTTGGCCCTTTAGGCTGTAGCATCGGCCTGGAGATCAAACTGTCACTCTCACCCAGGCTGTGGACTTGCTCCTGGACTCCTTCTCAGTCCTGTGCCAGCCTCCCCCACCCTTTCTTTCTCTTGCCCGCCGCCCTTATCTTATCTGGAAAGAGCAGGGGGGACAGGTGGTCACCAGGAGAACTAGCTTTGACAAAGGAAGGGGTCCTGCAAACCCCCAAGTGCCTGCCTGGCACCTGCTCCAACCCATGGATGAGTCCCTCCATGGCATCCTGGGCTGTTTGGGAGCCTCCCCTGGGCCCTAACCCTGGGGCAGGTGGAGGAGCCACTTACCGCAGGCTGCGGCCCACCCCCGCCTCTGTAGCGCAGGTCGCGCTCCTCCTGGTTGAGGGAGCTGAGCAGGGCCTGCAGGCGCTCAATGTACTGGATGGCGCTGCGCAGGATCTCCACCTTGGGCAACCGCTGGTTGGGGTTGAGCAGAGTGCTCCTCTTCAGGGCCTCAAAGGCCTCATTCACCTTCTTGAGCCTGCGCTTCTCCCTCAGTGTGGCCGCCCTCCGCCGGTCCACAGACACCGACTTCCTCTTACACACCTTACATGCCCACGGCAGGCACTGGCCTGGACAGTGCTCGGGGGTCCCAAGCCCCTTGTCTTCCAGGGGCCCTTGGGTCTCCGGGCTCAGGCTGAGCTCAGTCCGCTCATAGCCTGGTGGCTCAAAACCCTGGAGGTGGACAGGCAGGTAGTTTTCCCCATCATAGAAGCGGGGCTCCTGGTAGAAGTAGGGGGATGTCTCATACAGCTCCATGGGGTCGGAAAAGACTTGTTCCTGCCACTGGCCCCCAAGCTCCTGCAGCCCCTCTCGCCAACTGCTGGGTGCCATTTAAACCCTCCCTGCTGGCATGGAACCAGAGATAAATATAGCCAACGCCACAGAAACCTGAGCCCCCCTCTAAGCTGTTGCTGCACATCAAGACGTTTACAGTGGATTAGATGTGATTCCCCTTCCCTCTCTCCACGGCCCCCACCCCACCCAGCCAGCCTGCCCCTGCTGGGGTGGCTCCTGTGCACGGGTCGGGAAGCCGTCAGTGTAATTTGATTAGTTTTCATTTCTGGACAGCCCCTGTGGGGCAGGGAGGTGGGGGAGGACACATTCCCCTCTCATCTGCTCCTTTCAATTACTCCTGGCTGGGTGGTACAGGCCTGCTGCCTCCTTGCTAGTCCCAAAGAAGCCGGGTGGGTGCACGGGAGGAGGGGACGTAGAAGGGGTTTTCATAGGCTGGAAGGGGTTTTAAGAGTCACTCTGTCTCCTGGCTTCCTGACAGCACCTTAACTACTCCGTGTCAACCCCATAGACTTCACTCTCCAAAAAACAGGATTGCTTGAAATTTGGGGCATGTGTGGGTCCCCTGGGTTAAGAAGGACTGCAATACAGAGGCACGAACGGACTGACCTCTGGGTTTTCAAAGCAGCTTTGATCTTATATATTCTTTCAGGGGATTTTTAAAAATTAGGGGCCAGGGGGAGGTTTTCTGTTTAATACAGTTGGTCAGGGTCAGAGTAAGGATCAGGATTTACAGCCCACACATTGCTACCTTCCCCAGTGGCAGGGTCAAGTGCTATTAAGCCCTCTGTCTCCTCCCTCTGTTATTCATTTATCTGCCACCCTGTGTTGTCTCTTCCTGCCCTGTTTGGACACTAGAATCTCCCTGACTCCTCACAGTGGATGGGAACAGGAAAGGACAGGAGACTGAGCCCTTCAAACTCAGTTTGCACCTTCTCTCTTCTGGACCACCTGGCTGGTTCCTCTGCCTTCCTGTCTGAGTCATCAGTTTTGCACTCAGGCAGGTCTCAAGTGTCAGGTGAAGGCGGGACTATTTAATCTTCAGGTGGCTCAGTCCATGGTTACCTCTTGGCAGAGGGCTCAGGGTCTGAAAGGACCAATTCCTCCCAAAGTGGTGGGCAGGCTTCAGCTATCAGCAGTGGGCAGGACTCAGTCTGGGCTGGGCATTTTGGGGATGCCCAAGGCATGATGCCCACCCTCCATTTACAACCTCACACACCACAGTGGTCACCTTGTTTGAGCCACCCTGATGCCCGGATCCCCTTCCCAGGTTGTCATTGTCCAGCTCCTGTTGACCTCAGAAGATAGCTTGTTCCACCAAATCTTCAGCTTCAGAAATCCTGGGCTTTGAACTGTACCCATGTAGTCTTGTGTCTCAGCATTCTTTACCACAAACAAAAAAAAAAAAGAAAGAAAGAAAAAAAAAAACCTAAGGCCCTATAGACCAAGTCTAATCTAATCCTGTTAGCTGTGTTCCTATGGGAGAGGAGACTGATAAGTTAAAACCTGTTGCAAGGACAATAAGAGAAAGTAAATTTGTGAGGAAGACTCAAGGAGGACCTGCTCCATGGGGAAGCTGAGATCTGCACGCAATTTGAAAGACTGGCCTTTCTTCCTCCCCTTATCTATAGTAAGGAGCCAGGAAAATCCTGGTACCCTTTTGGGTTAGGGCTGGAGCTAGGAGGGGATGTAGCTGGATAGTGATCTCAAGGAAGTTGCAGGGAGCAGTGAGGTCTCAATTTGGTTCTGGGCTTTACCAGGGTGCTGGAAAGTACAGCACGGAACCATGGATTCTAAACCTGGATCAGACCTGGACCAGCTGGGCTGAAGACAACTCTTTATTTCCAATACACCCCCCCACCCCAAAAGAAAACAAACAAACAAACCAAACAAGCTTGCCTTGGTTTACACTCTAATGCCACAAGCCCTGAGAAAAGAGTGATGTCAGAACTACTATGGCAACCCAGACATGACATCTTTCATCCTTTTGGGATGTAAGCTGAATAATCCCTAAACATTGTGTCTTCTTTCCCTAAAATGAGGGCACAACAGGCTTATTCTGTGCTGGCTCCCAAGACCTTGCTGACTAGTAGGTGAGTTGGGACCCAGAACCTTGCATGCTTGGTTACACAGGCTAGGGGGAGCTATGTTCGTTCTACAGTCAGCAAGGGAACGGTAAGTACTTGCAAACAAGTGGATTTGTCAAAAGTGTGATTTAGGAGTTTGTTAGAATAGCAAAACAGCTGCATGCTGGAGTCTCTGTGGAGGAGTTGTGGAGGAGCAGTGAGCTCGGCCGGTCTGAGAATGGGAGAGTTTAGACAAGAAGAGAGGAGGTGAAGGGATATTGGGTAGAGCAGTTGGTATGGAGCTCAGGGTATAATTTGATTAGCCTTGGAAACAAGGCTGAAAAGATGGGAGCAATCCCAGCTGAGCTTGGAGGGACTTGGAAACTGAGGTAGAGTGGCCACTTGGACCAACAGAGTAACCCAGGAGTGTGATGAGGGTCTCAGGGGTGGATGGGTGGATTGGGCTGGGAAAGGACGCATGCTATAGGCTGGCAAAAGATGAATATGTGTGTATATGTGTGTGTGTGTTTGGGGATTGTACTAAATGAAAAGGCACCTGGCACGTGGAAACATCCAATAAATAGGAGGCCTGTTTCTTGCTTTGTCCTTTCCTCTACTCTTGAGCCACCAACCCCGAAGCCCTCTCTACCAGGTTGTCCCTTTGCATCCAGGGGACCACAGGAGGGAGAACCTATCTTACCCACCATGTGTGGATATTCATTTAGCTCCATGTGTGTGCCAGGTGCCAAAGTCACTGACATGAATAGGACATAGTCTTTCTGCTGTCATCATGCTCACAGTTGGATGAGGGAGATGAGGACACAAAATCACCTACTCAAGGTAGGAAGTTTTAGGTAACAAAAGGGCAGGCTGGGAAAAGTGCCCAAATAATTCAGAGAAGGAACAGATTAATTCGCTCCTGCCTCTGCTCAACACTTACTGAGGACCTACTCTGTGTTTGCCCCTGGCCAGAGCCAGACCCAGGAAAGAGCAGAGAATAGACACAGCCCTTGTCTGCAGGCAGCTGTGCTAGGTGTGAGTTTGGCCTTGTGTGTGCATGATGTTTGCCTCTGACCTAACATGAGGGCAGGGCTGGCAGGTTAGGGTGACCCTGTGTGTCTGGGTCTCTGTGGATCCAGTTGTAGCAGTGTTTGTGTATGTCTGAGTAAGGTGGCCCAAGGGCTGTGTCAAGGCCCACTGTGGAGCACAGATTCTCTTAGGACTGACGCCAGCAGTGATCCAGGTGCCTCACCTCAAAGCCCTGATGGCAGGATTGTCCCTTCACCCACCTTGTTCTGCTCTCAGCCAAACTGTGGGGGAGCTGTGTTGAGGGGGCTTGGTCTTCCTCCCCTGCGCACCCCTCCGCCCTCACAGGCTGCCCTCTGATGGATGGGAACACATTGGTGCCAAGCACAGAACAGTCTTTGTGCTCCGCCACCAGCGTCGATCCATCAGCTCTAACCTGACAGCACGGCGTTCGGCCCTAATCCCCACCCCTGCCGCTTGGGCACACAGGGCCCCTGCCCGACTCTAGCCTCCTCCTCTAGTAGTCCTACTCTTTCTAGAGGAAGACTTTTTGCCTCTCTGGGGCTCCAGGGCCAGGCTGATGGGTCCCCCACCCCATCTCAACTTGATTCTGTCTATTTGTATGTTGGACTGATCTCATTTGCATGGTAGCATTGGATTTCAGAAATCCCCTTCACCTGCTGCCGGCTCCTTCCTTCTCTTTCTGCTGCACACCCAGCCACAGCTATCAGCTTTTCTAGTCCCCAAAGACCTCATAGGTGGGCTAACCTAGGCTTCCAGGTAGCTTGGCTAAAATCAAAGCAAGACTCCCGTTCCAGACTCTCATGCTTGGGAACAAGGTCTAGAAGAGAGGAAGCCTCTGGATTTAAAACACAGGACCCACCTTTAGTTTCCCTGGGCTGGGTCTGAGTATTGTTGATGAGGATTAGGTGGGGGTTGGATGTGTATGTTGTGGACATAGATGCGTAAACGTGACATGCAAACCAGCCTTGATTATTTGTGAAGCGGTAGTTTTGTAGCAGGGTGAGAACAGAGCAGCAAGGCTGTCTAGGATCAGTTAGTCCACCCTCCTCCTACACATGGGAAAGAAGCCCAGAGAAGGGGCACGACTTTCCCAAGGACACAGGAGAAATTTCAGAAGTGGGAAGGATATCTGCTATTGGGCAACCTGAGCTGGAGCCAAACTCAGGTGACTTTTGTCTCTCCCTGAGGCTAGCAGGTGACAAAAGGCACAGCAAGTGGCTACGTGCTTTCCAGGTGGGTGTGGGGCCACAGACAGGCAGGCAGTCAGGGGACTGAGAGTTTTAATGGCAAGTTCAAGGAGACATCGGAGAAGTGGTGAAAGAGAGAGGAAAAGGAGACACAGAAGAGGCCAGGGGGAGACTGAGGGCTTGGGACAGGAGGAGAGATTTGGAGGCAGGTGGGACCAAGGCTGAGAGGTGGGGAAGAGGGAAGGGCCTCAGGCCTCTGAGCCACATTGTTTCCACTGGAGACTGAGCATCAAATAACCACTAGGAAATTCCATCCCTGCCTGGAATCTGGAGCTCAGAGCTGGGATCATCCTTCAGGAATCTCAGGATTTGGGATGGGGGAGCGAGGAGCCTGGAGGTGGAAGAAGTTGAGTCTGAGGAACATAGGGGTCAAGGAGAGGTGACTGGCAGAGAAAAGCAGAAAACTGACTTTTAAAAATAACCAGCACAGGGGTCATCGGAGCATATGAACCTGGGGACCTGGCTCCAGTGGGGAAATATGGTCAAAGATTATGAGTATCCCAGGTCTGTGTGAGACCATGGCCTTCACCTTCTGGGTGGGACAAATACTCCTGGGAAAGTGGAAGAAGGAACCCCAGAGAAAGAGTCAGGGAATGTTGCTGCCGTGTGTCCTCTCTGGTTCTCAATTTGCCCATCTGTAAATTAGGCTGCTGA